CGGTCACAGGCAACTGCCACGGGGCCTCGCCCGCTCTGCGCAGGCGCCGAATTTGCCCCGCCCTCCTTGTCCTTTCGACCAATAAGCGCTTATCTCTCCCTCCAGCCCCGTCCACCGCCGCTCTCTGCCCGCCTCCGAGCGGGACGACCAATCAGCGGCCGCTCTGGCGTCATGGGGCGGGGCTTCTTCTGCAGGGCCTCCAGCGAGGGGCGCTCTATCCCGGCGTCCCTTGCGCGGGGGCGACTCCCCCATGGGGTGGGGGCTTCTGAGGTTGAACCCCCACCCCCGGCTCCCCGACGGTTTTGGACCCCTCTGTGGGGTGAGGACCCCTCTGTGGGGCCAGCACCACATAGGCCTGAGCCCTCTCCTGCCCCCCAGGTGCCCCCAAGGCGCAGGGACAGGAGCAGGGGGCAGTGAGGGGCTGTGTGGTGACCCTGTGTCCCCCCAGGCTTCTCCCAGACCCTCCTCGGTCCCCCACAGCCCTCCCAGGGGCCCTTCATTCCCCCTCCCCAGCTCTGTGGCCGAGGGGAGGCTGCCAGGGGCCAAGACCAGGAGGTTTTGGGGTCTGCCCAGGGCCAGAAGTGTCCCCTCACCCACTGGGGACCCCCATAAACCGGTGTTTCCTCAAGTGCCTCCCAGTGCACGGCTGCTGGCACCAATCCAGGGAAAAAGGAGGGGGTCACCATATTCCTGAACCCCAAAATCGGTGGCCATTCACGTTCCATGGTGGCTCCCGACATCGATCCTGGCATCAATTCCAGTGTCAACCCTGATGTTGATCCCGGTGTCAATCCCGGTGTCAATCCCAATATCAATCCTGGTGTCAATCCCAGTGTAAATCCCGGTGTCAATCCCAGTGTCAATCCTGGTGTCAATCCCAATATCAATCCTGATATCAATCCCTGTGTCAATCCTGGTGTCAATCTTGATATCAATCCCCGTGTCAATTGTGGTGTCAATCCCAGTGTCAATCCTGCTGTCAATCCCAATATCAATCCCAATATCAATCCCGGTGTCAATCCTGGTGTCAATCTTGGTGTCAATCCCAATATAAATCCCAATATCAATCCTGGTGTCAATCCCGATATCAATCCCGGTATCAATCCCGGTGTCAGTTCTGGTGTCAATCCC